CCGGTGTCCTGCATGCTGTACACAGAGGTGGGCCAGGCCTGCCCCAGCTCCTGCCTGCCCCCCACACTCATGAGACATCACCAAGGCACTGCAAGACAAGCCGCCATCAAGCCGGTGGGTGTGTCTGTCGGTGCCCTTGCCACGGTTCTGACGGTGGCCGAGTTCCCGCGGCTCCCCAGCGTCGGCCCCAACACCAGGACCAGCCCCCCTGAGGCATGGCTGACAGCGTCCCTGCTCAAGGCCCCCACACCCAGCTGTGTCACCCATCCTCAGTTATACAAGAGCTGGCCATTCGTGCCATGTCGGGACCCCTGCCCCTTGACCCCCACCCCAGCCACGCCTCCAGGAAGCCCTGTGCCCCGTGGTGGCTCAAGGTGGTGACTCTGTGAGTCCCCGGTGTTCAGTCAGGGAGTAGTGATGCCACCGCCCGGGACTGTTCCTGGGACCGCCCTGCCTGGTCCCCCCTCCCGAGGGGCTGCCCGTCTCCTCCCCAGGCCCCTCGGCCTCCACTCTGGCCACCCCAACTCTCCGGACCCAGCAATACCTACAAATATTTTTTGTTTTCATAAACGTCGTGCAGCTTGAGGACGTGGGGGTGTTCGATGAGCTTCAGGATGGCGATCTCCCGCTCCACCTGCGGAGGAGGAGTGCATCACCCGTGCTTGCCCGTGGGGCGGGGACCCCGGCCTCGGCCTCCCCCTCCCCCCAGGAGCCTCGGCTGCTGGGAACACAGAGGGGAGGTGTGAGCCAGCCCCTCGGGGGCACCGTTGTGGGCTCTTGGGTGCAGCTGGGGCTTCGGGGCAGGGCCAGTCTAGCCCCAGGGTCTCCACCTGTGGGGTGGCCTGGCCTACACGGCATCACACACAGCCCCACGGGTGTCAGGGCCGCCTCCAGGTCCCTGGCCCAACTGCATGTGGTCCCTGCCAGGCCTTCAGGGGGATGGGCCCCAGTTACATCCCCAATCCCTTTCCCCCAGCTCCTGTCTCTCCACTTGGATATCTCAGAGTCCCAGTTGGAGTCCAGGACCTCAGCCAAGTGCTCCCCATGGCAGGTCAGAATGCACCTGGCCCCACCTGCACTGCCCCGCCCAGCCCAGCAGCCGCCACCTCCCCTAAAATCACCCACCTCGGGTCCCTCGGGGTTCCCAGGTGAACCCGCCCAAGCCCCCCTCTACCCTCAGCAGCCAGAGGGGTCCTCACTGATGTCACTGGCCCTCCCCACCTAAGCAGAGTGCTGTCCTCACCCACCTGGATCCCTTCACTGCAGCAGGGCCCTTGGCCTGCCTGTGGCGCTGACCGCAAGGCCAGCTCCCACCCCACTGGCCCGGCCTGCCTCACTCTCGCTCACCTTCATCAGCACAGACTCGCTGAGCTTCTCCCGATTGACGATTTTGATGGCCACCTTCTGGCACGTGACACAGTGAATGCCCAGCTTCACGAGGCCTGTGGGGAGAGGAGCCCGTCAGACCCGCCCAGGGCCTTGCGGACCCTCAGACGTGCCCCACCCCAAAGTGGTCCGGGCAGGGGGCTTGACCGGGAGGGATGCCACTCACTCCTGACCACAGCCCCTCACTCTGGCCTCTGCCCCACCCCTGCCCTTCAGTGTGCCTCGAGCTGGACTCCTGTGGCCACTGTCTGCCCTCCCACACTCCCTGGTCACAGCCCAGGACAGCTCTGCCCCCCCCCACTCCCATGTGGGTGATGCTGAGTCCCTCCCCCAGGCCTTCAGCTGCCCAGATGCCCCCTGCAGGGGAGCTTGGGTGCCCTCAGGCCCAGGAGGCCCCACCCAGGCCCCTCCCCCCAGCACACTCAGCCTCTGCCACCCTCCTTTCAGCCTGGACAGAGGCGCCTGAGACAGCAGGACAGGCCATGGTCATCCAGGGCAGCACACCTCGGCCTGCCTTGCACTGACCGCCTGGAGCCCCCCACTGGGGGGACTCCCCTATAACTGCTCTCCTGGCCATACTTCAAGGACCCTGGCCCCCTTGCCATGTGGGCAGAGCTGGGTGCCTGCCTCTCCTCCTGCCCACTCCGTGCTGGGACCGGCCACCACCAGCAGCACTCAGCCCCCTGCCAGCTGTTGGACTGCTCTGTGGCCTCGGGCCCCAGACACCCTGCCCTCCCCTTCCTGATGTGTGTCCTACACCCGCGCCTCCTTCCCAGCCTCCTGCAGGGAGGCCTCCTCCAGCGGCCACATTCTCTGCCTTCACCCTGCCCTCCCCTTCCTGATTTGGGGGGCCTGTTAGCCACGGCATTGCAGCCTGAGGGTGACTTAGGCTGTTTTAAGGGATGCAGACCATGTCGGGACTCCCTGCTGTGAATGCTGAGGGACACCACACTGCCATTTCCAACTTCAGAAGGTGGCCCCACAGTGCCCCTCCTCCCTGTCATCATCACCCAATCAGGTTCCAAATGCTTGGGTTTGTCTCCGCCCCTTTTTACACTGGGGGGGGGGGCGGTTAGTTACCAATTCGCGGGCCCTTTGGGGTGTGTCCCACACCCGCGCCTCCTTCCCAGCCTCCTGCACGGAGGCCTCCTCCAGCGGCCACATTCTCTGCCTTGTGGCCAAGAGATGAGGCTGTGCCCCCCAGAGGCACCACACCAGGCTTGAGGGTAGGGGGCCCTGAAGCTCCAGTGCCCACAGGGTCTGCTCGCGGAGCCAGGCCCCTGCTGTGAAGGGCAGCAGGCTCCTGGGCCTCTCCCTGGCGGCCTCTGATCTGCTCAGTGGCCCTGTGGTTCCAGGTCGGGCAGGAGAAGGCAGCACCATCCACCCATCAGAGCCAGTGGCCTAGGGACTCCACTGCCTCCAGGAGCAGCAGGGCTGGCACCTCCTCCGGTCCTTGGCCCAGACATGGAAACAGGAGGGAGCAAGACAGAGTGAGAGGGAGAACTGTCTGGCAAGTCCCCCTAACAGGTTGACAGGCCGAGAGGAACCAGGGAACAGCGGTGACAGGAAGCAAAGGCCACTAGCTACCCTGAGAGAGCCAAGCTCCTACAAGTCCTCAGCGCCCAGGGCGGATGCCAGGTGAGGTGGGCTCCTAAGAGACCCCACAGGGCAGAGGCGGGGGGCGTGAGGCAGGCGGCTTGGCCCTAGGCCAGCTCTGCAGAGCTGTTCATGTAGCAGAACATGAAGAACAATGTCATGTCCCCAAACAGTGCCGAGTAGTTACGGCTGGTCAGCAGCTACTGGACAGATGTGGAAATTGTGACGCCACCGAGACGGACAGACGGGGCGGGAGGACGCTGGTTAGCGCCCAGCCTGCGCAGGAAGCCATGCACACGAACGCGCTCACACACGCTCCACGAGGGTCCCCAGGAGGCAGACGTCACAGACGTGTGGGGAATTTCCTGCTTCCAGAAGAGGAAGCGCTGGGCTTCAAACTGACAGGGAGACAAAGAGCAGTGCCGGGGACCCTCCGGAAGCAGGAAGCTAGAGGCCACGAATGACAACAGCTGTCTGCTGAGCAGAACACACTCCAGCACCCATTTCACAGAAAAGGAAAGGTGGAGGCTGTGTCACCAGTTGGTATACAGAAAGGTGGGGAGGACAAAGGGCACAGCCAGTGAGGTACCCTGGATGAGCCCCACGCTGTGGGCACCCTCAGAGCTGCTCATGGGTGGGGGCACGGGCGGCCAGGACACATGGCTGGGGTGTGTCCTGGAACTCTGGTGGCTTCCTCCTGCTTTCATTCTCATCCACCTGCTGCCTCCCTGCCCTGCAGACTCCTATACATCCCTCAAAGCCCAGCATAGAGGGGCCCCTCCTTGGTGAGGCTTCCCTGTCACCGGGGCAGATCAGCCCTGGGTGTCCTGGTCCCCCACAGCAGGATCTCTGGGGCGGGACCGGTGGGTTCCGCGAAGCCCTGCCAGTCCCTGGGGACAGGCAGTGGGGAGTCCTCCACAGGAGCCTCCTGAGTCGCTGCAGCCTCAGGCGGGCAGAAGCATTTCCTGCTGGGGAAGCCCACAGCCGCCCTAATCACCCAGCCCTCCAAGTGCTCAGGCTCATTATCCAATTGGTGTTTTATCTCTAATTATTGCCTTTATAGTAAACACAGGCTCACATGGAGAGAGGAAAGTACACCGTGTCACACTGTGGGAGGCGCCGCGGCAGTCTGCGCTGACTGGTGCGCTCGGAAGAGGGGTTTTACGAGTGCTGGCCGCTTCCCTGGGTGAGGAGGACTGGGGTGCGGTTCCTACAGTTACTGCCCCCAAAAGACACTCACAGCAGCACCCAGCCCACTGCCTGGGCCAGGCCCTCAGATGGCCCATGTCCCCTGCCCCCCAGGACCCTCCCAGCTGCCCCTTAACAGGTGGGGGAGGAAGTTCTATGGCCTGGAGGTTAGTCTGTCCAGTGAGGGCTTCGTACCCCCGAAGGCTAACAGCCGTGTGGAGAGGGGCCTGACCCGCCTCCCCCCTCCTCTTCTGAGGGCTTTTAGCTTCTGGCGCCTCCTCCCTGAAGCTGACCTGTGTCCTGTCCTGTGGGACAGCCTGAAGGAACAGTGACAACCCAGCACGGTGACCTGGGACCTTCCCCTGCGGGTCTCCGGTGTGCTGCACGTATGGGCGTCTGGCTAGGCCTGGAAGGTCCTCACCAATGGAAACCCACACCCAACGGCCCTGTGACCCCGAGACAATCCGGTGGCCTCTGCGGCACCTGGGAACCGCCCGGGCCTGCTGGCAGAGTCCTGTGAGGACCCACAGGTGCCAAGGCTCCTCCACAGCCGGCAAGGCCCTTCCCCATTCAGATCACCGACCTCTAGACCACGTCTCCCTCAGCGCCCGCTGTGGGGCGTGGAGCCTGCTGTGGGGCGGGAGCCCGCTGAAGGAGAGAGCTGGCCTGGAGTCTGAGGCCTCCAGGAACACAGGGCAGACCTGGGGCCGCCCCGTTTCTGCCTCAGTTATTCTCAAAGCTCCGCAAACCTGCCCCCCATCGCCCCCTTGTTTTCTCCCCGACACAGTCTCCATGACAGTCCAGCAGAGGTCCTCTCACCCACTAGCTGGCCCCGTCACAGCCCTTCCCCAATCCCTCCACCTGCCCTCCCTCCCCAGCCACAGACCTGCCCCTCCCCCAGTGGGGTCTGTGCTCCAGAGCCCTGGAGTTTCTGTCCCCAAAGTCCTGGCCTTCCCCACGCCCCACCCCCCGTTTCCTCCTGTCACAGACAAGTCCTGTCCTCCCCTGGGCCATGCACGTCAGTGCCACAGGCCACCTCGCTGTACAGTGCACCAGGCACCTGGCTGCGTGTCAGCTGGTCCTTGGGCACGGGTGACCAGAGGGCAGCACCCCGGGACTTATGGGGGACAGGATGTGCCAGAGTCCCAGCTCTGAGTCCACTGCTAAGCCAGGAGGAGGAGCAGGACGGCCTCAGAGTCCTGCACTAATGCTCACAGGACCATTCTGGGCGTCACTGACTCCTGGGACAGCGGACTCCGTCCTCCCCCACCGCTAAAGCTGTGCCTCTGGGACCACGTGGCCAGCTCCCTGGGGCCACAAGCACAGCTAACAGTGACCCACTTTCTGCCACCTCACAAGCCTCACCGTGGGGGTGTTGGGGGGCAGTTTCTGCACCAAGCGCAGCAGACACCCCTCCTGCCTGGGCTCCTTGGAGGGATGACCGCACTGCACTGGCTCTTGGAAAAGTGAGTCAGCAGAGTGGGCCGCCCTGAGCCAGTACGGCCTCCTCTGGCCTGGCAGCGTGTGGGCACCGGGGAGAAGCTTCCGGGAGCAGGCAGGGGCAGACGCAGCGCTGCTGCCCCGATGAGAGGGCCACGGGACTGCGGGGAGGACGGGGCCCAGTCCTCCACCCCCAACAGCCTCTGCTGAGTGACCTGGATTGGAGCTCGCAGCCTGCAGGCTGCCCTTGACCATGCTGGGACCTGAGTGTCCCAGGAGCTGCTGCCGAGGACACTGTCCCCACAGGGACCACAGCCCACGCCCCAGCCAGGACCCACACACCAGCCTGCTGTGCCCTCACCACAGTCCTCACTGAAGCGGGCCCAGCGGCCCCAGGCGGCCTCCCTGGCGGGAGTGGCAAGACCACAGCCTCTCCCCTGGTCTGCCTCCACCCCTGCCTGCTGGCCAGCTCCCCTCAGGTGAGAGAGGAGTGGGGGAGTCAGCAGCTGGGGGAAAGCAAGGGCCTGCCTGGCTCCCAGGACTAGCCCCTCCTGTGCCCGGACTGGAGTGAGGAATGGAGGGGACAGCCAGTTGCTGGAGCTCCTGCTGGTCCTGCAAGGGGCCTCCAGGTGACCAAGCTCAGATGATGGCCGAGGGCTTCTGGCAGCTAGCCGAGCCTTTCCTAAGCCCCCGGAGACGCTGAGGGATCCGCCCGGGGTCTCAACCACAGATGGAGTGCGTGGCCCCAAAAAGATGCGTCCAAGTCCTAGTCCCTGGACTGCCTGAATGTGACCTTGTGTACAGAGCTGGCTTATGAGATCCCCTGCACACG